AAATAACAAATAAAATCAGATACAGTACTTCTACTTCAAGGAAAATATAAATAAGTACTTCACTAAGGATCTTCTCAGAGGCAATAAGCTGGCTTGGAAGAGTTCTGAACTTCAAGGACATTCTCTCTACATGGAGCCAAGTTCAAACTTTGCAGTGCTGGAGATATATTATAGTTTTTCTGAAGGGAATGTGGCAGGCTCAGAGGATGAGAATGCTGATAAGCACAAGAGAGATTCTGGGCTGCAATGTCTCCCAGTGCAGTTTATTTCCAGTTTAGAGCGAAGTCCAACACTTGCTGCTTTTAAGGAGGAAACAAACTTTCCAGGACAGTTTTGGGTCTGATGGCTGTTACAGAGGTAGTATGCTTGAAATGCCCAGTGCCTAGGGATGAGTTCATGATATCTGACATGAGCACTTTGCAAAGCTTTGGAGTGCTACTTCCCAGCTTTAGTATTCATTATTTCAGCTTATATGATCTATAGGGGGATTTAAACCCACCCATTTGAGAATCTGCAAAGGGGCTTGTACTGCCTGGATTACATGGCAGTGATGTCCAGAGGCTGCTAATGCACCAGGGGAACCAACCTTGGAATGAAAACAGGGAAGATCAAAATGTTCTGTCTTCCTTCAGTACTCTTGAGAGAAACACTCGGAAGATTTCCAAGGCATTTTTTATCCTGCTCTATATTATTCCTCATATTTATTCTCTCACTCCAGAAAGGGTGTCACAGGTGTTGTCACAGCTGGGGGACAGGCCTATGACTTCTAAGAAGTGCACTGTCACCTCACTTAGCATGTGAAGAGGATGCTTGCTAATGTGTATGCTCAAGTTGCAACAAAGATTAGACCATCCTTCTGTTCCCTGGTTGCACAGTGTCAAGTGCCACACAGACCCTGGTCCACGACTGGGGTTTTTATGTACTGAGTCTGTCACTGGAATAGACAGTAAAAACGAGACAGAGCTCCTCCAATAGTACACAGCCTATCAGGTGCAAATAATAAAATGTGAATGCTGCTTTAAGCAGCTGTCAAAGCAATGCTCCTGTTCTTCTCCCGCCTCTGTCTTTTGTGAGCGAGTTGAGAGGTTTGAGGGAAAGCAGGCATTACCCTGCATCTAGCACAAAAGGAAGAACAAGTACAAAGTTCTACATAAAAATTCAGTGTAGAAGAGTGTGTGGGAGCAGTGGGAAAGCAGTGCCGAACCCTGGAGAGAGAAGGCTAAGGACAAAAGTAGGCCTATCAGTTTGTAGATGTGCTCTGAACAGATATGAGCATAGTGCTGCCTCTGTTCTGGACTGGATGCTGGATAGCTATTTTGAGCAGTGCTACCAGTCCCACATGGTATTGCACTCAATTGCCTTTACTACTTTACCTTAACAAAGGTTTTAGCTTGAGGATATCCCCTGATGCACCTCTTTATTGTAGTGGAACTCCATTGGCACTTCTCTGAATCAGTTTGTATTGGACAAGTAACCAGGACTTTCTGAGGAGGAAAGCTGGTTGTTTGGGTAGAACAAGACCACTGTCTCTCCACATATACAACAAAGGTGTTGAACGTGAGCCCTGGGTGTTATTTTAGAGCTAGTCCCCATTCCCCAGATGCTCAAATCCATACATTTCTGAATAACTGATGTTACTTCATTAACAGTTGTTGCTGCACATAAATTACTTATTTTGAGGAAGTGTGTCTGTGAATATCTTACATACAGTAAATGGGGGAAGAGTAGATGCTGCTGGCTATTTTTTATCAAAGGTGTCCAAGGCAAAACACACATGAAATGAGGAACGTAAGATTAAACATCTCAACCAGCCCTTGCTGTGCATCAAGGTGAATAACTGCACAAGAAGCAGGATTATTATTGAACAGCCTTGTGTTCCCATCTGGTAGTTCATTCAGGTTTTCTTGAGAGGAGAGGGGCCATATGCTGCTGTGAATGGACAGGAAGCAACTGCTCAACATGAGCCTTGCAACTTTGCAGTGGACTGTGGCAAGCCCTGGGGTTTGCTGTTGTAGAGTAGTGACATACACAGTATAAAATCTGACATTAGTCAAATAATGAATTTGAAGGAGTAATGGACAGCGATCTATCTTCCAGCATTTCACTGTTAAATCTGCTCTGCCCAGAAGCTGGGATATTTATTATTCAAGAGGATCTGCTATGGCATTTGGATTCAGCTTAATCAAATGTTTTTGTTATAATGGGGAGGACTAAGAGCTGAGCAGAAAGACCATGAAATTATTTTTAAGACCAGTTTTCTTGCAGGAACTGCCTGTGTAGACACAAACACTTTCATGTTTAATGCCATGTAAAGTGCTGTGTACAACAACTTGCTTAACTGAATGAGTAATGAGTAATATGAATGCAATATAATAATACAAAGATAACATAAAAACTCTTGAGACATTCATGACAAGAATCCCATCTTTTTGTCTCAGTGAATTTCAGAGTGCCCTAAGGGAACCTTTTTTCCAGAAGAAAAGCTGACTTACGGATTTTCCTATTATATCTAATTGTAAACAGAGATTCCCATAACAGAGCTGACTTGAGAGTGCCTTCATCTCTTAAAATTGGATATCCACCCATGAGGATGTGTGACCTTGTTGCCAGATCATGTATTCAATGATTCTCTTTTGATTTTAAATCTGGTGCTCTCCTGGGATAATAGGTGGCTCTGTGGGGCTTACCAGTAAAGGAAGGAATAAGAAAATTATGTGGTAACCAAGCAAACAGGCAATAAAGATATGACTGCTTAGAGTTTCAAAACCCAGTTTTCAAAATCTTGGTGGAAAGAGTTAAATAGGCTTGTAAATATACCTGTCATAAGGCTTCTCCTGGCACCATGCCAAGTGACAAGCAGTCTGTTTTGGATGCATAAGGGCACAAGTCTGTAGGACATCTGGAATCCCAACAGAGGTTAAACAAAGATAACATTGTCTGCGTGTTAGCTGTGCGCACAGAAACTTCTGGCTCACAGGTGTGTTACTGAGGGCCATTCACCATCTTCCTAAGGAAGAATTACTTATCAGAAAGAATACCATAGCAAACAAATTTCAAATACATGAGTATAGGAAAAGTCTATGAAATTTACAGAGCTGAGGATATTCTCTTTCCCTCTCCCTTTCTCAGATTTCTGCCTCCTCTTTGTAGTCCTGGGACTGAGGAAAGGGTTTGTTGTTGAAATCTTTGCATTTCACTGTGGAACTCTCCCCATCCTTGAAGCCTTCCTGCACATATGCACCACAACAGTCTCCAACCAACTTCTTCCTACATAATACCCTGTGAGACTTGGGTTTGTGGCTACTGCCTGTACCATACTTGTTATCATGGTCAGAGTCCTTACACAGAAGATATTGCCTATAGCCTCAGAAATGGGAACAAAATATGAAGTCCAGAGAAGTGCTGAGCAGGAGGTTTTGATGCTGAAGGAGATGGTGGTGAATTCAGGAAAGGTACCTATACAACGGTACATTTCTGACTTCATCACATGTGAATTACTGCAGTCTTCAAAACAAAAGTCCTCAGGATGTGTCTTTTACACCAGACACCTGGAGAGGTTGAGACGCTGAGATGCTGTGCTGAGCAGGCTGGAAGGAGAGGCGTGGAGCAGGGGCCACGAGCTGCATGGTATATTTGAACTTATTTGTGGATGAATAACTGTATGATAGTCATCCTTCCTCATCTTAAGCGTTATAATGGAGATAGGATAAAGAGTTCCCTTTCCTCTCCTTTGAAACCATGGTTTCTGCCAGGGTAGATGAACCTTCTTCTACTTCACTGTTCAGCTCTTACAGTTTTGCCTCCTACCTTACTGACAGGTGTGGGAATCCCCTGTGCTCCTGCACAGGAATTGGGTAGGTTATAAAACACCTACACAAAGACCCAGCAGGAATCAATGGCAACACCAGGCAAAGAAACCAGTAAGCTCAGCAGTGCCTACAGAGCTCCAGACCTGCTCCCTCTGATTGTTGGAGGAGAGCCATCAGCCACAGGCACCTGGTGAACTCCACTGAAGAGTTAGAGGGGCCACCCCCCCCCCCAGAAGGACCTGCAAACTGTGGGGGTGAGCATCCACAGGGGCATGAGACTCATAAGGGCTGCAGGGGAATAGCATTTGTGGATGTTGTACCACTTATGAAGTGTATTAAGGGAGTTGTGGCAATGTGCAAGAATTAGTATGGGATATTTAGGGGAAGGATCAGAGGAGGTTCTGCTGTGGGAACTAATGTAAGAAAAAACGGGGATCAAAGATGCTGGTCTGGGTGACATCTGCCAGTCAGTATGTTCCGAGGACTGAGACCTGCACCTCATCACCACAGCCTACAATCTTACTAAATATTCCTGCATAATAATAACTATTTGTTACTACTGACACTAATTACTCTGACATTCTTTACACTGCCTTTCTATGTGGGCACACCCTCTATTCTGAGTACATGTGAGAGACCACCAGCAACCTTCAATCTGGATGAGTGGGCAGCAGCACTTGAGCCCAGTGCCGGCAATTGGAATGGAATCCCAAACCTCAGAGGCCGGAGGGTGCCAGTGCCACCACTTGGGGAAACTGGGGCCTGAGGCCAGCTCTGATGCACACTGAGTAGCTAATGCCAGCTACCAGAGAGACTCATTTTCCATGTGTGAGTACAGATTTCACTGGTGGAGGCCAGTGCTGATCAGCAGGAAAGGAATCATACTGTTCATGTGTGTGTGAGCGCTGTGTGTGTGTGTGTATGAGTCTATGCAGGTGTAGGCACAGTGTAAAGGCACTGCTCTCTGTGTTCATCCGTGGCTGGCCATGTATGTGTGTGTTTGCGTGCGCTCATGTGTGTACCCCCTGGTAACACGTTCTCAGCCTTGATGCAGGCTGGGCCTGGAGCAAGGAGGTGCAGCAACCTTGTATCAGCTGGATGGTGGCAGGAAGAAACTCCCAGGGTGCTGTAGCCATGGGATCTGGCTACCCTTGATAAAACAAGACAAGAAAATGTACAGTGCTACTTGCGCAAGCACAGATTCAAGGTTTAATGCACTACAACTTTGTCGATGCTGCCATATGGTGGGGACTTGGGTTACTGACAGCAGAAGACTCTCAGGTCATTGAGAGCTGTGTCATCCCTCTTTCCCTGGGGTCCCTCCACCTTTGTTTGGAGCCCACAGATAGCCCCAGAGGTGCAGTTGCTGCTCCATGGGCCAAAGTGACCCCCTGAAAGTCCCCAGCCCTCCAGCTTTGTTCCGTTTGAGCAGGCGAACCTCACATTGTTGACTGCTGTGTTGTCACGAAAGTACTGCCACTTTTCCACACGCAGGGAGAAGGAAACCAGCTTGTTGCTGGAGCAGAGCTGGGCCTCAGTCCAGTTTCCCCACCTGCCAGAGAAGAAAACAACTCGCCAAGACTTTGTTCAGCCTCTGCTGTGCTGCAATCAACACCGCAATGTGCTTGGGATCCTGGCAGTCCTGGGGCAATCCTGCACCCCTACACAGAGATGGCAGGTTTCTAGGAGCACCTGTTTCTATCTGCTTCTCCATCATTCCCTGGATGCCCAGACACCACCAACCCCAGGCTGCTCTGTTCCTGCACAACCCCTTGGCAATTCAGCTGCTTGCTTTGTCCCTGTTACTTGATGCCCTTTTCAAAGTAAGCGTTTGAGGAACAGGAGAAAGTACACGCTTAAGAACTGCATCTTTTTGAACTCTCCTTCATCTTTGACAGCACTGTTCCTTTCCCTGGGACCAGATCTTTTCCGTAAGACCTTCACACTTTGTGGTCAAGGGGAACTCACCCACCTCTGCAAGCAGGTGGTGAACCGCCTTCACAGGGGAATGTGGGCTATGCAGAAACCACTTGCTGCTTTTCCTTCATGCTTCCCAGAAGCTGCTGCCCTGAAGGAGGATAAGAAAGTGAAGATACTCACCATCCCACGGAGGACTCAATGACTGTGCCATCTGTGCAGAGCAGGCGGATGCCATTTAGAGCCGTGTCGTCGGCAAACAGCCAAAACCCCTGGTAGGGCTGGACCTTAGAAGAAGGGAAGAAAATAGGAGAGGTCAGCACCATCCCCCATTTAAAAGAAGTGATGAGGTGAACCCTCGTGACGAGGGTTTGTAGGAGGCTTTGTGTACAGAGCGAGACAATGCAGCTGGGCAGGACTGTGAGGCAGCTCCACAGCATTTCTCAGGAAGGCCTTTTTGCTGTTGCCCACCTCTTTTTTTCTCCAAATGGTAGGTCAGAGGCTCTGGACACAAGAATGCTGCTGTCCCAGGTCATGCCCACACTCTCAGCATGTGCTATGATACTCAAAGCTGTTGTGCTGTTAGGTGGGACTTCTTCCAGACACCCGGGAACAGGATCTGCTGAACTGACCCCAGGTCTTTTTTTTACCCAGTGGACTCCTCTGCTAAGAAATCATTTACTGGCAGGGAGCCTGGAGAGCTATTATATGCTAGAGAACTCTTGCTGAGAAGCCTGCATGAGAAACGCAGACACAATGCAAACTGCTGCGATGGGACAAAGTGTTGTGGCCAGCCCCGCTAGGACCAGAACAAAATAACATTGTTTCACAGCAGGTTTTTTCCCCCCTGAAGAAGAAGTGAAATCTTACCTTCAATTCAAATCCCCTAGCGTAGCCACTGGGGCAAAACTGTTTGTGCCCCCAGGAACCCCAGGGGCCTCCATTTGGCACCATGAGCACTGACTCATATTGTCGTACCTCTGTGCCCTGGAGGCAGCAGGAGCCCAGCAGGCAGAGGACGGCTGAGACAAGCAGCTGCATTGCAGGGAACCTGCTCAATGCCTCGCTACGGAGGTGATGGCACAGGGGAATTTATTTGCCAGGAGAATGGGTGGGAGTTCTTGGGGAGTGTCTACAAAGCTCATGGGGAGTGCTCCTTGTTGCTATGTACTGCTCCCGGTGACTGCCTGTCCCTCAGTGGTGAGGCCACCTTTGCCAGGTGGAAGGGCTGTCACTGGTATGCACTGGGCGTGGGACTTGCAGGGCTGTGAAAACTTGTGGATGTGAGGAAACGGAAGGGGGTCAGAGCTGAGACTATTTCCCAAGGGAGTGCTGTGGTTGGATGAGGATCCTGACAATGCTGCCAGGAGGATGTTGGAGAGAGAGAGTTAGGAAGAGCAGTGGTGGACTGCAAGGGGAAGAAACCTCTGAAGGGGCTGAGGCAAAATTTGAGATGGAGCAGTCTCAGGGTCCTTTGCCTTTTGGAAGTCCTCACTTGTTTCCTCTTTGCTTTCCTTCTCTCCTCACCATCCCACTGAGATTGAGGAAAGTGCCTGCACAGGAAGCCATTGCATTTTGCTCTGGGACAGGCGTTAAGTGTAAGTGACTAAGTGTGTCAAGCCCTACTCAGAGTGAGTGCTTCAGCAGCCATCCATCTCATGGAGCCTTTGCTGAATTTAATCCAGGTTATTCACATCTTTCTTGCACCAGGGACCGGAGAATGGGAGCAAAACTGCATGCAGTCACACCATCCCATGGAGCTGTGCAGATGCAGCTCCCAGCTGCTCACGTGTATCTTTTGGAGATGTGAGCATCCAGAGAGGTGAGAATGTCCAGCAGAAGCAGTCCCTACTTCTCCTGTTGTGCCTCTCTCAGGTGTGAGTTCCTGTTGCATTCATTGTTCCTCCAAAGGAACTGGGCAGAGAAGCAGCAATATTGACAGCAATATTCAAGGGTATCCTGTGAGTAGTTGCAGAGTAGGATGAGCTGCTCCTAGTCCATTGAAGAGTCAGTGATGATGCCACTTGGAGATTTGTCTTGTGAGGTTTATATCACCATTATATCAGAATATGTGAGTAGTATATATATATATATCAGTATATACCAGCACTATAAGTGTAGCTAATACAGGGAGAAAGAGTTATTCCAGGCTTCAGTCAATGAAGAATGGAATAGCCTGCTTCTGTAAGAGCTGTTTTGTGCAGGTGCAGGAGGAAGTGTTGCTTTCAGCTGAAACCCTCTAATGTTACCTTTTGGGTATAATTGTAAAAGTCTTCAGATAGTCACAGGAGACAGTGAGAACAGAAATGTGTCATTGTATCTCGTACACAGCATGAACATGTCAGGAAGAAGACAACAGCTATGAAAGGCTGGGTCCTGGTCAGGAGAATGGATAGCTCATAGATATTTTGTTACTTCTGGTGACATAGGACTTTCTAAGCTTGAAGTGTTGGCTGGATTTCCTCATAAGAGTGGCAGCAACCACAGCAAGAGCAATGGGCCCTTGCCAGGTTCCATGTGCAGTGAAGAGCTATGAATAAGTGATATTATCAATCCTCTTCATTGACCATGCTGACTGCAGGATGAGGCTTTAGGGTATGTGGAAAGTTACAGCTTTGGGGTGGAGCAGTGTCAGAGACACCGTACAAGGATCTTAAAGAGAAGCAGTGAAGAGGAACTAGGTGGAGGAGGACATCCTGAGCTGGCTGATACCAAAAAAGTAGAGATGTTTCACAGTTTGTAGTTACATCCACAGAGCTGAATATTGCTCTGTTTAAGTCCTTCTTACTGATGGGGCCTGTTTTCTCTGTCTTCCACTTTCACACATCTTTTCCTGTTTCCTCTCTGTTAATCAGTCTGGGTTCCAGCCCCAACAGTCCTGCCACTGCTGGTGGGAGGACAAAGATCCTGGCTGCAAAAAGACCCTGCTCAGCATCTTTCCTCATTTTTTGTTGTTGTTTTTGGCTGCCTGGTTAGGAGGTGGCAGACAGTGGCACTGGGTCAGTGGTCATGGGATATTCCAGCAGCAAGCAGTGAAAACTATTCACACAAGTAATTAACTGCCTGTGGGAGAAAGCGAACATTGTATGCATTTCTATAACTTCACAGTGGGAAGCAAGAAAACAAATAAAGAACTAATCTGAGCTTTATATTTCTCTCTCCTGTCTCTCATTGATTTTTGACTCTTCCAGAGTGATAAATCATCTTCTCGAATCAAAGAATTTCCCCTCCATCCTGCCATCCACTCCCCCGCCTTTTCCCTACAGAAAACCTTCCCAGGTCTAGGAGGGGAATAAGGAATGGACTGAAATGAAGACAATGATATCAGTATCAGCAGTTGAATTTGTGCTGCTGGAGTGCAAGGCCAATGAGTATTTTTGGGTAGATCTGCTCATATGCTGAGCTCCCCTGAGTGTCCAGTGATGTTCCTAATATCCCTGTTAATCAGCATTCTGTCGTCTGGGGAAGCTCTTTCTCTTCTCCCTGTGCTTGTTTTTCCCTTCAGTTAACCTATGGTCCTCCAATCAGGCGGGAAAAGTTCCAGGCTGCAAGGGCAGAATGGGTGGATTTTTAATTATGTTACATTGAAAAGCTGGAGTTTGAACTCAGTAAGTCTGGCAACTTCTATGCTGGTTAGGTATAGCCGCTAGTTGTAGGGTTATGTTATGTGACATATCCCATCTTCTTTTAATCAAACTATTGGAAGGCAGGATAGCATTAGACTCAATAGAAGCAATAGAAGTGAAGATATGATGGCTAATGCAGACCAAAGATCAGTTCTGTGTTTTTCAAACATATAAATTAAAAGGAAATATTTGGTTTTCTTTTTGGACAACTTAAGTCCTTCTCCCTATGACAAAAAAGAGCTGTGAGTTACAATGAAGACAAAATATTTGAACAGTGCAGGTGCTCGAAATAATCAGAAATCAGCAGAATAGAAAAAGGTGATCACAGAGCCAAAACATCAAGATGAAAGAATGAAGTGCTTGCATTGCATGTATACATTTACATTGTAGATGTCTAAGTGCAGATTAGGTGACTCCCACTTTCTGTAGGCCAGAAGGTATTTTCTTATTTACTGCCCATTTATAAGATGATGGGGCTTTCCAGGAGATGTGTTCTCAGTTGAACTTCTCTAGCAACATAAACCTTCTTAGATGGTGGTGAGAAACAGCTACTTTAAGTTGTGTGTGGGCTGAAAACATTCTTGCAATGGCCCTTGTGCTGTTACTGGAGATAAAGCCAGCTAAATTGTTCCCACAGCTGAAAACTAAAGATAGTTTTTTTGATAAAGAACCTAGTATCAAGAACTCTTTGATGCTGCCAAGGGGGTCAGTCAGTCTTTGAAACTGACCAACATAGTACTCCTGTTGCTGTCAGGTCAGTTTAAAAACAGATGCGGTGGCTCAAAAGGTATTTGCTCTCCCGTGGTCCTCCATGGCTGCAGGGGCACAGCTGCCTCACTATGGTCTGCACAATGGGCTGCAGGGGAATCTCTGCTCCTGTGCCTGGAACACCTCTTCTTCCTCCTTTCTTGGTGCCTGCAGGGCTGTTTCTTTCACTAGTCTCACTCCTCTCTCCCAGTTTCTGTGCAGCATTTTTACCCTTTCTGAAATATATTATCGCAGAGGTGCCACCAGCATCACTGATAGCAGTCATTGGAGCCAGCTGGTGTTGGCCCTGTCTGACATGGGTGGAGTTCCTGGCATCTTCTCACAGAAGCCACCCCTGAAGTTCCCCCACTACAAAGACTTTGCCACATAAATCCGGTACACATCGAGAGACCCCGCTGTAGTATCTAAGCTGCAATAAGAGGCCTATAGTTACTCAGATCAATCTTCAAAAAAAATTTTACAACTGACCACTGTATAGCTTTCCAGTAATTTTAAATGACGTTATCCATCACTGCTATGACCCTAGCTCTTCCATTTTAGAGACATCTTAGACCTCTTGAGTACTTCTTATCAGTTCTACTCATTCCTTGCTATTCACTCTGTGATTTTTTCATCTCTCCTCCAAAGTAATTTTGATTTCTACCTAATCTTTCTTATGACCCCTATCCCCTAAGAATGACTGGAACTGTCTGAACACCAAGTTTCTTCCACTATGAACATTGAGCAAGTAAATAATTTAAAATAGACATATCTGCTGTAATCTTCTTTTATACTGTCAGCTGGTTCTACAGATTTTCTGATGGTCTCCTGAATCTTTGATGTGAAGAAACACTGATAGTGTTAAGTCCCTTTGCCATTTGTTCCTCAAAGTGCTTTTTGTCTGCTGTGTTTTCACATGCAGCCTGTCACCAGATATGTTACTTCTATTTTTTCCATCTGGCCACAATTTTAGCACTCACTGTCTCCGGCAGCCTCTCTTGCCTTGTGGTTTGACATTGCCTATTTCTTTTTACCCTTACTCAAGTATATGTTAATAACTTGTGTTTTGTGTTCCTGTACTTCCAGCACCATAACCTTCAGACTCCTGCTGTCAGTCAGTTTACAAGCTCTAGGTTTTCCTTTGAACACTGCCTTTTGGCAGGAAGAATGGAGAAGGACCCTGTGCAGGGTCTGTATTTATGGTTTGTCAGTGAGCAAAGGGAATAGAGAGCCAGGAGGTACTCTGAGCACTCCTGAGGACTTGCTGACATAGACCTGCAGCATCACCTCAGCCCTGAGATGCAGAGAGAAATTGCCGTCCTGCAGCTGTGAACACGCTCCGTGCCAGCACCATTCTCCCTTTATTAGATTACACCAATTACTGCTGTTGTCCAGGAAAGCTGGAAGGCAGGTCAGCAGTTTTTTCAAGCATCTTGCCTGCCAGCTGCCCAACTTGTTCCCTCCTGATCAATGAGCAGGAATCCTGGCTGCAGCTGAGGCAGGGAATGATGAGTGATGGTGTCCCACAGCTGCCCTGGAGAGCTTACAAGGAGGGTTTTCCGGAAAATCTGAAGAGAGAGGAGGGTGCAAAAGTGAATTAAAATTAAGTGCTTCTCTTTGTATATCAAATCTGACAAGGAATTTCTTACAGGCGGTGAGACCTGGTGA